CTGGGTGTTCAGGTCATGGCGCTATACCGAGTGCACTATAATAGGATTCCACAGTATAAAACATGATGAAAATCGTTGCAAAGCATAGATTATCGGACATTACAAACTTACAATTTGTAGATAGGGAATGCTGACATTGAAACTGTCATTCATGTTTGCATGCCACACTATTCGAACATTTGTGATGAAAAAGGTTCCCAAATTGCCCTGCGGAAAGGGAAAACGAGGAATAATTAAAAGTAGACAACCTTAAATAGCACCAAACTTAAGTTAACAAGGTCCTTTCCAGACTTCTCTTAAAAAATCAATTTCCTAACTACTATATATTGTTTTCTCCCATGTAGACACACGTTCCTGAACAAAAGAAATAGGATACTAGACATACCTGATCACTAGACAGATTCCAGACACCATTAATTTTGTCATAAACTTGTTCCTGAGGCAAAAGTCTCAACTGCTTGTTTTGAATGAGAGCTCCTCTTAATTTCAGATCTCTGTAGATTTTGGATGTCTCGTACGCTCTGTAACAAAATATTTAATTTGAGGAAATGAGAATTTTAATGAAACCCATCATGAAGTTGTTAATTTTTTTGCATACGAAGCTGGCTGTATCCGTAGGGGTTTGCGGTTTGAAGGGAAATGTGGGAGAAGTCACAGGTATGGAAATTGGACCATACCTCTTCATACCACCCAACATTTCCACTTTCTAAACCGTGAAGCAATTAAACAAAACCCTTATCTGCGAGTGTGGGAAATGGCTAGGCTGTGTGCCCACATTCGCGAGATCGGTTCGAATTTCCCGTATTAACCTTGAGAGAGATCGGCGTGTGTGGACACACAGGGCAGCCGCTTCCCTGTTCCGATTGAATTGGAGTGTGAATGAAAATACACCATTTTGTCTGGACTTCTATGAGCAAAACCCCAAAATTAAAACACCAGCCACTTCTTGTCGTATTTGTGTGGAGATGCCACTTAATTGGAATGCTAATATTGTAATATTCACTAGTTAGCAACAACAATTTGCCTTTATATAGCATCCTTCACGTGGGGTAGCATCTCGCTGCGTAGAAATTTAATTTAGTCACATGTAATGTAATCCTACCTGTGCACAGCAATGACAGAGGTGAATAATCGAGGACTTCCAGGGATCACGCTGGTAAAGATAAATTCAAATCGTGTGTTGTTGCATTTAGTAAGGATGTAAAGAGCTTCAGTTTGACCTCGAAGTTTCTGGAAAAAAAACCCACTCATTTTGAAATACTTTGGTGCTGGTGGGGGGAAGAGTTCTCCAAGGTTAAACACAATTACCCATTCAAATCAGGTAGCTTGCAACTTGCACTCAATTTTTTAATATAGAATTCTACTAAAGTAAGTAGTGAGTACAAATGTGGCTGTTCAGAGGTTACTTTATGCTTAGCCACTGCAGTAAAAGTACTTGGTCTGTGGAAAATTGCTGCTGCAATCCTCAAACCTCCAAATAAATTTACACCTGCCAAATAATAAAAAATTGTAGAAGTATACAATCCACTATGTTCAAATAACCGACTTTCTAACCTTACCGAGTTAGCAGTTCGGGTTGTTATGCTTAAGATGCAGTTAAAGCCAACAGCTGAAAGAGAAATGCGACAACATTAAATTAGAAAAGGATATACAAAACTAGCTGTATATAAATAATACAAATTGGTAAGGCGTTGTACATAGCTACTAACATGGGTCTTAGGGTTAGGGTTAGGCATGTTGTTAACTGTAGTACACTCTCCAACATACTGCACTATGGAGGAAATTCATGCAATCAGTGGTCAGATTCATTTCATGGTAAACAAATGAACTACAGTAACCAAACTCGCCTGATGGGAGTTTTACTTACATAAATTAACACGTGGAAGAGCCAGTGAGTGCCAAATAATTCGCAAATTTGTCACAAGCAGTCGACCTGTAAAAGTAAATTGTCGGTGGTTTTAAAAACAGCTTCTTAAATAAAAACAAAACAAAAGTGTAGTTGAACAATGATCGACCAGCCTCAACAATAGGCTTGATAAAACACGTTGAAAGTTGACAAGCTAATGGCCAACGGGTAGAACGCTCCGCGCTGGACAAGCTGCAGGAAACTGTACAGTTTATCTTTACCAGTACACCAATGTGCACCATCTCGTCCCTTGATGCCTGGACCTCTGCTCACTTACGCCTGTTTTCCCAGGCACAAGCAAGTGGGGTTGCACTTTTCCCTTGGATAAAGGTATAATTGAAGAACAAGTGCTAATAAATATATACACACATATATATATATATATATATATCGCAAAAATAGATGTTTGCTGCAAAAAAACGTAAACTTCCAAAAGTATGAATCACTCTCTACCTCTGTCTCCATTATTTCCTTTCGTATCTTCAATGGAATCCAAACAGTCGATCAAGACTTCTCCAGGTCTCACCTTCATCTGTCTAAACAGAAAACACGTCGTGTTACCATCGGGTTCGCCTGCAACGTCTAAGCGCTCTGGGGCGCTATCCTGTCTTTTCGACCGCGCCTTGGGTCATCTTCCTCCCCGCCCCCCCCCTCCCCCCCCCTCAGCCCCACCGGCTCGGCGCCGGTGATCCGTTACCGCGAAGCGCTCCCGAGACGCCGCCCGGCGTGGAGGGCGCCGCGTAAACCCAAGTCGCCGTCGGGGTCTCGACGCGAGTCGTTGCACCCGAGCGAATGGGGGGGGAAACGAAACCCCACACGCCCTCCCTTCGCTCGCTTCGACGTCTCGCCTCGACCCCCCCCGAGGCAGGATGCCAGGATCACCGCGGTTAAGGTTGGCGTCGCTGTCGTCGTTGTCGTGATTTATTCTCAGTCGGGGCTTCGCTTCCGACCCCTTGAAAAGGAAGTGGGGGGTCGATGGCGCCCTCTGGTGGGGTGATCCGGCACGACACGGACATCAATCACTCCCCACTCCCCTCCCCTCCCCCCCCCACCCCTCCCCCACCCCACCCCTCAGTGCCCGTTTCGAGACGCTGTGCGTTAAATAGATTCAACAACAACAACAACAACCACCACCACCGCATCTTATGGCGCCCTAAAGCCAGACGCCATTTTAGGCTCTGGCCATCACCTCATGAACCCACAGTGACTGCCCCTCGGGGGAGGGCCGGGCCGGCCGGGGGGGGAGGGCCGGGGGGAGGGGGGAGAAGGGGGTGGAGGTGAGGCCACTGCAAACCGTCACCCAGACCGCACTCACTGAAGAGAGATGTCGAATCTGACGTCTCTGTCCTCCCACAGCGCGTCCAACACCGACGCCATGGCCCCGGCCCCGGGCTCCGGCCATCACATCACCATGGCAACCGGCCGGCAGGCAGCGACACCCCCCCGGGCCGGCCAGGGAACCGCCGCTCACCGCGCCGACAGCGCCTCCGCTGGCCGGGCAGGGAACTGCAGCCCGCCGGAGGTTGCAGCGCCGCCACGGCCCTGGGGCGGGATGTGGCGCTGCCGCTGACCGCAACGACGCCGCCTCCACTGGCTGGATCTGGTACTGCAGGTGGCCACCGGTTGCGCTGCCTCCAGGGAACCGCAAACGGCCCCCAATGACCGACCGACTGCGGACGGTGGTTTTCGCCCACAAAGTACGCAGTCACTACACTTCACGGTATATCTTGCGAAGCGCCTTTGAGACGCCTCGACAGCGGGATCAGGCGCTGCATCAAACACAAGGATTATTGTTATTATTATAGCAACTATCCCTGGAGGGGCGGGGGTGGGGCGGGGGTGTTGGCGGGGGGGGGTTGGGGTTGGAGGCGGGGACGGAGGTGGGGCGGAGGTAGGGTGGGGTGGGTGGGGGGCGGGGTGGAGGCGGGGACTGAGTTGGGGGCGGAGGTGGGGGCGGAAGTAGGGGTGGGGTGGGGGTTGCGGTGGGTGGGGGTGGGGGCGGGGCGGGTGGGGGCGGGGGTGGTGTGGGGGCGGGAGCGGGGGTGGGGGGTGGGGCGGGGGTGTATGCGGGGTGGGGGTCGGGGCCCGGGGCCGGGGCGGGGGGCAGAGGTAAGGGCGGGGTCCGGGGCCGGGGCGGGGGGTGGGGGTGGGGGCGGGGGGTGGGGCCCGGGGCGGGGCGGGGGTGGGGGTGTCCCAGGTACTATGTTTGGCAACGGAATGTGAACGTCATGTCATTCCTCTGTGACAGTCTTGGTCGTCCAGTTCCTGAGCCTTAAGTCATGGATACAAATAATAATAATAATAATAATAATAATAATAATAATAAACCCGGCACTTGATATAGCACAAATGGTTCAGTTGCAGTCCACGGGTTACAGACCACCTGTACAGGGCGGCTGGACATGAAATAGCTTTTTCGAATAGTAAAGCTTTGTAACTGGATAAAAAAAATAGGTAAATAGGATTTAATCTGATCAGGGGTTTGATTTAAATACACCCCGTTATTTGCTTGTCGATCTCATTGCTGATCGTTGCATTGTGATGAGTAGATATAGATTACGTACGCGAGTAATTAATTATCTTAACGTTATATCTCACTTTGGAAGAATGCAAATACTTTTTACTCATAAACATTTGAGGTTACGAATTGTGCCGGATGTTTTTTTTAAAAGAAAAACTCATATAGTACAACAGCAAACAGTAGAATTTTCTCCAGATACGTAACAGTCACAGCTGCTCCACTGATACTATCAGACGTGACTCGTAAGGACCTCAGGCTATGTGTAAAGCCAAGGGTGAATGCGAGAAAGACGACCGGACAGTGTGGGTGAATGCGTTTGAGCCCAAGGAACAGCAGTTGAGTGGAAAATAGACCATTGCTTCAAATAAAGGTCTGAAAGTACGACCCTGACCCTGAAAGTATTTAGTTCGCTGAGTGAACAAATCTCCCAGCAATTCCTGACATGTTTCCCAGCTCAACTCTTCCTGCGCATTCAGTGTCCCTCTTTCCCTTCATCTTTTTTTCTCTCTTAGTGATAACTTTACTCTTAATATTTAACAGTGGATGCGTTAATTCACAAGGGTGACAGAGAGCAAATGTATAAACGCGTACAGTTTATTTAACACACTTAGTAGCACATTACTACCCAGAAATACTTTGGATCATTCAAACACAGTATGTACTCGGTAAGGCCTCACACTTTAGTACGTATCATGGAAACTTTCCAGCGATCTGTAAGAAGGAGTCAGTGCTTTAATTTCTCAAAACAAGTAGTTGTTTCAGTCAATTTACATCCAGATGAACAAAGGCATACTTCATAAACTAGACATTTGATAAACATTTAATAATACTCTTGTCAACTGTTTAAACTACTTTACCATCAGAGTACAGTGGTTAAAAATGTTTATCAGATAACAACGCGTAAAATTCATGTTATCGCTTTCTTGTGACAAATACCGTTTCAGAAGTTTGAGGAAATAACACAAACCAAATGCTAGAATTGTTGCATAGATATCAAACAATTAGTAAACTCAATGCTTTCAGGTGTAACTGTTAAACCTTCCTTCTTTGTAACCAGGAAAATTAACATTCCCAACATTGAACAATAGAATACAGATTTAAATGCAAATAAAAATTTGATCTTATCCAAATTGATGTTCAAAATTATTGCGAAGAATCTTTTTTGGACCATTTTTCTCCTCCAATTTTCTTTGCCCCTTCTCCCCTAAAGGCATTTGACTCCTTTTTCCTTCTAATTGGAATGGTTTCACTAATGCCAGTTGTTCCGATTATCGAGGTCATTGCAACCAAGACCCTAATCATGTCCCTACCTAATGTCCAGGTATATGCACCTTCCAGCGGAGAAACCTTGTGTGAATTATTCCTCTCTAACCCAGGACTGTGGGCAATTTGAGCAGCCTACCTCCAGCTACTGCCGAGATCAGGATAAACCAGGATTTGAATCTGCAATCCTCTTGTCTGCATAAACTTGTTCCTGTACCCACACAACCGTTGGAGGGGTTCAAAGAGAATTGTGCAGACATATCGAAAAACATTTATAATTTGCATTTTCAACCCCTGAGAATTCTGTTTACATAGACACACTATTATAAAGGCAAGCAATCTGTATTAACACTTTTGTACAAGTTGAATCTTTATAAAGTAGCTACCAAAACACTGTTCATAGCGTATTAAATGCACACCAGTCTTTCTTATATTTGAATATGATCAGGATTTGCTGAGGTATAGTTTGCCTGGGATGCATATCAGGAATCTGTTGATAAAATGATAAAATTAAATTATAAATATAAAACACATGGACAACACTTTTTTGTACTGGTAAACAAACAAAAAACCAATTTATATACTACTTATATATGAGCTTACCATTAAAAATATTCTCTGCATGAAGTGTTTGAAAAACACACCAAAAACTACAAAACATAATAAGAATAATCCATGCACTTGATATTACGTCATTGAGACGTCTCAAAGCACTTCACAACATGGAATGAAAATTTAGCTCATCAAGCGCGTTCATAGATCGTGGATTTATGCCTACTTTATCACAGATTATGCTGTATGCAACATTTTCAAAACAATTTGGATTTATCTCAAGATTAATTGTAATTGTTTATGGTACCCTCATCTCTGATAGGTTCACAAGCTGAATTAAATAGCCTGTTGAAAAGGTGATCCATTTTTCCCAATGTTTTACAGATTTAGACCTTGTCATCTCCCAATTTTCTGAAAAAAAAAGTGTTTTCTCTTGCGAAGTACGGTCAGCGAATTTTATATCATAATGAGGAGCACCGAGTCCCACAATAATGACTGATTTTTTTTCTGAACTCTCATCATTATAGGTTCATCCTTCTGTAGGAAGATGTGCAGAATGTACCAAATTGTGGTTGGAGTAACTTGCTGGAACTTGTAAACTTCAGTGATGACATGTACTCGGAAGCTATGAGAAGCCCATGAGATGATTGTAGTGCGACTGTTAATTTCGATTTTTATAACTGTCATCCAGTATTCCCCACTGTATAGTAACTGCAATAATTGTGTGATCGATGTTGCATTGATCCCTCCCCCCAAAAATACTAATAATTTGTTCCCCTAATCCACGACGGTTTGTCGGACACTGCTGTGCGCAATTGGCTGCTGGGTTTCGCCCACAAAATATGCAGTCAATTCACTTTACTGTATGTTCTGTGACGCTCTTTGAGGCGTCTCGAAGACGTGATAAAAGCCGCTACATCAGATGCAAGGATGACTATTTCGCTGTAATGCTTCTAGAATTACTCTTCCCTATTCCCTGAAGCAACTTGCTTTGATGCGAATGAATATTTCACGGAAAGATTACAAATCATACCTGTACTGAGAATCACACAGGTCTTCCTGCATTCATCTTCATTTTCAAAACGATTTAGATTCCCATTGCATCCGCCATACCAAAACTGTGCGCAAGCATTGGCCTGCTTATCATAATACCATTTAATGATATAATTACGACATGTCCCCTGGTCTAAATGCAGCTCACAGTGCGGATCTAAAATAAGATACAAGTTGTTTACAAGTTACAACATTAATTTGCACAAATATAAGATTGTATGTATGGGGGAAAAAAATTGAAGAACACACAGTACACAGTTACATAGAATTGCATTGAACGTAAAAGCACAGAAATAGGGCATTTGCTTAACTAGTCTGTGCCAGTGTTTAAACTCCACACAAGTCTCCATTCCTGATCCCCTCTTCTATGTCCCTCTATTCTCTCTCCCTCCTGGATCACCACATGTTTCTGAAAAGTGAGTTTTTTTTAAATGCTTAATTAAAGTGACATTGAAAATGCGCTCAATATTTTGCTTCATTCACTTAGTGATTCTGTACTGATATTCAAAGCCACATCGCCGGGTACAAAGGATACAACCCATTTTAAATGCTCAGTCCCTGCAGTAATATGGCTTCACCTGTATATTATGTACAAAACATAAATAAAAGGTAAATATAGCCCACCTGATGTTGGTCTAAGCACTGTTGAGACTGGTGGCGATGCTTTTACTGGTTTAACAGGTTGCGTTTGGAGCCTTGGAACCTGTCTAGTGATTGATGGAAAACTGTTGCCTTTTGAATGAGATGAAGTGGATACACGTTTCGGGATTTCCTTTTCCTTATAATGATGATCTGCTTCCACTTTTTGTTTCTGCATTATACAACAACAGTATAGGATTAAATATTAGGAGAAAACATTTTGCTTTATTCGCATGCTGCTGTAAATAGTTTCAATATTACTTGAGACGACACTGAGAATGGAATTTCTTCCAGTGTCCTAGCCAATGAACCTCCCAAACCAATGAATTGGTTATTTATTTGCTTCCTAGTGGTTTGCAGGACTTTGCTATGTGCAAATTAGTTGTCAAGTTGCCTACAAATAATAATAATAATCATCCTTGTATTTAATATAGAGCTTTTCACTTCTTCTAGGCGTCTCAAAGCGCTTCAAAGAATATACTGTAAAGTGAATTGACTGTATATTTTGTGGACAAAATACACAGAACTATATGAATTGCAAAGATTATTACTTATAGTATTATAATTTAATCTCTATCTCAATTCAGTGTTGTATTCATCTATCATGTGGTACCATAACCTTTTGAATCATGGGTCTGGCTTCTGTGCAGCACAAGAATATTCGTTAACACATACTATTTATCAACACAGAGCAGTTAGTAAAGGTTTATGATCATGAAGAAGTGACAACATTCACTGGTACCTCTTCAATAATCCTTGAAGTTTTTCCCACATCAGTCACTCCAGTTAACGATGGCTTCACCTGTACAGTAACCTGTGCCTCTTCTGTTTGCTTGTATTTTGTCATAATTTGTTCAGTTTGCTCTCTGGCATGTGTGGCACTTGAAACCACTGAATATAAAGGCTTTATGTGTGGTATTAATCCATTTCCGATTCGGTTGTAAATCAAAGCACCATTTTCATCCTCACAGAATTGTCTGACCAATTTCGACTCCAGAGCTGCAAAGGAAAAAAGGGTAAATACTTTGTGATAATATTTATAGAACTTTCTTTGTGACATTTTCCCTATTGGTGTTACCATGTGGAGTCCTGTAGCTCAGTGGTTAGAGCACTCGCTTTGCAAACGAGAGACCTGAGTTCAATTCCAGGCAGAGGGCGAAACCTTGGGCAAGTTTCCTTACTCCACACAGAGCCTAATAATAATCCCTCCAAAACCAAAAACAATAATAAATTGGTCATTTTCAATCTGCGACTGTTTGTGGGACATTGCTGTGCGCAATTGGCTGCCGCGTTCGCCCCACAAATATACAGTCAATTCACTTTACAGTGTGTTCTGTGAAGCGCTTTGGGACGTCCTCCCGACGTGAAAAGCGCTATATCAAATGCAAGGATTATTATTATTATTATTATTATTATCTCCTTTACCCACTTTTTCAATAAGGGTAAATACTTTGTGATAATATGCAATTGATGTATCCACTCAAGTTGCTCCATGAGTGGGCAATGGGAGGAAACTCATATGGTATCTCAAGGCGATGAAATAACCACCTCCCCAAATACACACAGTCACTACACTTTACGGTATAATCTGTGAAGTGATTTGAGACGTCTCAAAGACAAGATAAGGTGCAATATCAAAAGGATTATTATTATTGTTATCATCTCAGTTTTAACTTTCCACCCAGTCACTTTGCTAAGATTTAAGATCATCGTCTGCAATTTAGGAGTGCAATTCTGTGTTGTAGGAAACGAGTAACTTGCTGAGGAGACTTTTAGGCCCGAATCGAAAGAAAGCATCAAACACCTGTCAGAGTGTTGAAATCGTCGATGAGGTACATGTGTTCGCTATCAGGATCGGATGCAATCAGGTTCAGTTCACGTAAGAATTCGTCTTGTGTTGAGTCCGTGGTGTTCACAATACCGATTGCGTACATCTCAATGTTAGCCGCATGAGCCTCGCGCACAGCGAAATCCAGCTTAACCGTCTCTCTCTTATCTGTCTGTCCATCGGTCAATACTATAGCAACCTTCTTCACACCCGGTCTGGTTCCATAGAATCCTTCCTGCGTCGCTTTGCGGATGGCGGTTCCTGTGTATGTGCCCTCACCGATGTACATCATTTTTCTAATCGCCTGTTTGACGTCTTGCTGGGTGAGATATCTATTCAGCCCAAACTCCAGTCGTACCTCCAAGCTGTACAGCACCAGACCGATTCGGGTCGCATTTCTACCAACTGTTACTTTGTCAACAAGGGCAGTGACAAAATCTTTTATGATCTCAAAGTTATCCGGTCCCACACTTTCTGAGCTGTCAATCACAAGGACGAGTTCCATCGGCCTTTCTTTGCATTTAATTCCACAACCTGCCAAAAAAGATAACACAAGTCACTTTCAGTTATTGTGTTGCCCAGAATTATAGTTGCATACGCTGTTTAGGTTTTATTTAAAAGGTTACGAAGGCAGTGTTTGAGAATTAAATGATCACTCCCTATTTCAACTCAATATCTTGTGTACTTTAACTAATATTGTTCTTGTGTTTAGAGGGAAAAAAAGTTCTATTATTTTATTGAATGGACCTGATTAACAATTGGTAGATGGCGTCACAGAAAAATTCAACTGTATCCAAATGAAGTAAAATTCAGTAAATAATAAGTTGAATCAAGTGCAGATTATTGCCCAACTTGTAAATTCTGTACCTCAGAAAACCTTAAATAATGCTACAAAAAATGTGTGAATGAAAATTTGGATTTGAATATCTGGATCATAATTTGAAGTCCCTTTTCGGTCAACTTGCAGCACTTGACTTTGTGTCCCAGTTTTTTTTTAACCCACAATTATTCAGCAATGTGAGTACAATATTATAAGAAGAGAAAACAAGACGTCAGGCAACTTACCACAGATTTCCTTGATTATTCTGATGATATCATCTCTCTAATACCATGTAAAGAAAAGATGAACAGAGCAAATATTTTTTACGATTTCTTTTTACAAAAAAAATCAAGATGCATGTAAATATCAATCATCCACCTCATCGGGAAAAAATATTTCCAGATTACATCCTCTGGAGTTAGAAGCATCTTAAAACTACTGTGGTCGCTGAAACTCTTGTTCATGCCTTCATCACCTCGAGGCTCAACTATGCAAACTTCCTGCGTGTCGGCCTTCCCAACTCCTCCCTCCACAGCTGCAGATAATCCAGAACTCTGCAGCCCGTGTCCTCTCCCGCACCAAACTCCATGACCCCATCTCCCCCACTCTCGCCCGACTCCATTGGCTCCCTATCCTTCAGAGGATCCAGTTCAAGGTCGTGGTCCTCACCTACAAAGCCCTCAATGGTCTCTCCCCACCCTATCTCTGTGACCTCCTAAACCCCTACCAACCCGCCCGTTCTCTCCACTCAGCCGGCTCTGGCCTGCTCCACGTGCCCCGACCCACCCGCCCCACCATTGGCAGGAGAGCCTTCAGCCACTCTGCCCCCAACCTCTGGAATTCCATCCCCCAGTCACTCCGCCTCACCCCCTCCTTAATCTCCTTCAAGTCCTGCCTCAAGACCCTCCTCTTCGACCGTGCCATCAGCCATCCTCCTTCCCTTCCCCTCCCTTCCCCCTCCCCTGACCCCAGCTCGGGTCTGAAATGCTGTACTTTGTCCAGCGCCTTGGGACGTCCTCCTGACGTGAAAGGCGCGATACAAATGTAATCTTGTTGTTGTTGTTGGTGGTGGTCTACTGGATATATAATTTGGTTTGTAACACAGTAATTATACAGTACTAGGTATGAATGGATTGTTGCCATTTACAGTGATATGCAATCATTTTGAAACCTGAGGTTTCGGATTTACAACATATTAAATCAGAGCACTTTTTATTGGCCCACGTAATGCACGTAATGCATATAATTAACATTTATATAACTTTATGTGAGAGGAATAATTACTCACTGTTAATCCAGGTTCTCCCTTTTCTCCGATTCGACCCTAAACAATCAAAGTAATCACAAAAAATAATGAGAGCCACAGATCAATTCAAAGTATTTTGTTTAATTCTGATCTGTATGACCTGTTATGCTCCCCATAAAATGAACAATGATAGCAAACTCCTGAAAACACTTTCCATAGATTTACGAGCAATATGATTTACACATTTAAAAACAGCTCAGATGTATCTGGGCCGCAGTTATGTGGATAAATATATTGAATGAATATGACAAAGGCTACAACATACAAAATCCCAAGAACTCTTGCAGTCCAGGATGTGTGTATCAAATGTATACAAATAATATTGCACAACTGGTCAATTGGGTGCTTTGATTTTAAGTGAAATGTGAGTATGAAACAACGAGGCGATTAAAGTAAAGTAGGACAGGTATTTACTTACAGTTAGCCCAGATGCGCCAATGTCACCCACTTCACCTTTATCTCCCCTCCGACCTTTGTCTCCTGACATACCACGGTCACCCTGCCACGTGAAGTAAAACCTTCATTAATTCTAAATTCTCCTATTTCTTTTACTCGAAGCACTCATCTAACAAGTCTTATTGGCTGAAGTTACGATTGCTTAATTTTCTTAACTTCAATCTTTTTCGATTCGAGACAGCCTCAAAGTCGTTAGCGTCAAAATTCTCCAGCAAAGTCTTTCTCGTAAGAACATCAGAACATAAGCATTGCTAAATGAAAGAAGACTGAGGTCCATCCACTTTGTCTTCCACCATCCTGGCAGTTACCTGCACATGTCACGTCCCAAACTATGTACTGTATCCCACGATATTATCTTCCAAGAGAAATCTATCCGATTCGTTTTTGAAAGTATCAACACTTTCCTCTTCCACCGTCTCCCAGTTTATGTGTTAACATTTAACCCTGGACATTTGACTCATTGGCCACTCGTGCATCCTGGTTCTCTTGCATCAGAGATTACGCAGATCTCTATGATGTGACCATGTCAGTCTTGAGGGCCCTATGATTTCTGCACATACCTTAGGTCCTGTGATTCCTTCCCCTGGTGCTCCCCGAGGCCCAGGTATCCCCTGAAGACCCTGGTCACCCTGGTAGATAACAATGTTAGTTTACAGCAGGATTCAACATCTAATATTACATTTGTTTACACCACAGTTTAATGTTAAAGATAAAATGCCAATATTTTGTAATGGATGCGGGGCATTTTGTTCTTGTTTTCTACGTTGCCCTACCTTATGTCCTTGAATACCTTCCCCTGGAGGTCCCTGAGGGCCAGGAGGGCCTCGACTTCCCGCGAGCCCCTAAAATCGAAAACACTTTGTTTAACATAAAGATCCTCAGGACTTGGCGCACCCACTGTAACTGGTTCAGCTGTGTCTGATGGTGACTACCATGTCGGTTTCCATTGAGCCAACAGCTTAATTACGTTACTAACTTTCTTTGCTGTTGCTATTCTTTGCTATTTTATCTGAAGAACGGTGTGATAGGTTTCATGTGTCAGACTGATCATATATGATTCGAACGTGAATCATAGCACGTCAGATAAAAGGCAGAATGTGCCTGGTGGAAAAAACAGAACTGTTTCCGGGCTCCACTGTTGTTCCCTCCCAAACAAAGGGAAGAGAGTGGATAATTGGTTGGAGTCATAGCAAGCAAAAAAGCTGGAAAAATACAATTTTTTTAAGAAAGGCTAACTTGATATTGTCCTTCTTGTCCTTTGTTTTGCGTGGCTCCTGTTAGTTGCTGATAAACTAGTATCTTCCCCACTGGAGGATAAATGAACGTAAGGGCCTTTAATGACGAAATGTAATATGTAATGTAAACGTAACTTACAGTACCTTTGGTCCAGGAAATCCATCTCCTGGAGGTCCAACTACGCCAGGAAGCCCTCTCACTCCTGGATCTCCCTGAAATACAATTTCAAAGTGTTACAAACACACAAAATAATATTTTTCTGTCACTCCAGGATCATTCTTTCAGACTGAAAAATAATTCTAAAGATGGAGATACTTGGTAATAACAAGTGCTATTGATTGGAAAAAATAATTATTACAGTCATATGACTTTAATAGTAAAGCATTTGTTAACATCCATTTTAGCGGGAGTTTAGTGTTTACATATTGTAGGTAGTCAAATTATGGATGATGTATTAGGAAAACAAAAAGGTAGTTACACACCTTTGCTCCTGGAAATCCAATTCCTTCAGGTCCTGCCTCACCTGGAAAGCCTTGAACACCTGGCAGTCCCTTTCAGTTAAAAGAAAACTACATACATTAAGCATTACCACTAGCATCAACCATTAAATTATTATTCTGAACTCATAGCTCCCCAGACAGCCACAAGACAACCAATTTTGCCCTTGATCAGCGGGGGAGGATGAGTAATAAGTGCATAAGTCACTGGCTTCCCCCACCCAACCCCTCTTGCTTTATATTTTCACACAACTTGTAAAGATTGTGTTTGTCTATTTCATTACAGTGAAGGTTTTATTTGTTTTGTGTGTTAGTGTATTGATCACAAATCGTTCAGTCGCAAAAATAATATACTGCATTAAACCATAATAGAAAATGGAAAGAGATGAATAAATCTTAATTTTTTTTTTACACGGTTTAAAGATCAAAATAGAAACACCTTACAGGTAATCCAGGATAGCCATCTCCTTTTAATCCCATTGGTCCTGGCAGCCCAGCAAATCCACGATCACCCTAATCATGTGCAACAAATAAACAGGAAAATGGCTTTATCAATACATAGCTATATTCTACCATCGGTTTAAATCCTAAAAAATAAATCCTTACATTTGTTCTCATTTTGTAAGTGCGAGGAGGTTTAACAATGACACATCACACGATCGCGATTACAGAGAATAAGAAACAATGGCTCAATCTATTAAGCAAGGTCATACGCAATTTACGTATTATGAAATAAAATACATTCAGGTTTCTGTACTCTGTTGTGAGGTCTTGTCGCCTTGTCTGGCTTTCAACTGCTGTTACAATAGAGTTCCCATTATAACAACAACAACAACAACAAGATTCCATTTATGGAGCGCCTTTCATGTCGGGAGGACGTACCAAAACGCTGGACAGTTGGGTCAGGAACTATCGTGTTTGGGAACTATAAAACTCTTCCCGAACTATAGCAGCAAGTCACAATAGTCGGTTTGCCTGGGTACGCATGCGTGCAGCTCTAGACACATTTAATATTAATACAAATAACAATAACCCTTGCATTTGATATAGCACCTTATCAGGTCTTCGAGATGTCTAAAAGCGCTTCCAGCAGCTGTGCTAAACAGTAAAAATGGCCATTTTTCATCGAGTGATCATCGAGTCACCACTGATGTCAATTCCTTCATGTGGCGCATGAATCAAACTAGAATTTAGAGCAGAATTTCCCATTTCTAACCACGAAACCGCGATGATTTCATTCGATTTGCAATATGCTAATTAAAGATTTCAAACACATCTTACCTTGGGACCAGGAATTCCTATCCCAGCATCTCCGACTGGACCACTGGGACCTGGAGGACCTAATTCTCCCTGTACAAGACAAACACTAATCATTAAACACAAAAGACACAACATAAAAGATTCAGTACGTGGTTAAACAAAAATGACATCAGAAACTTTTCATTTCTACAGTAAACTGTCGAATAATATTTAACTTCTGTTGACCTGTTGTGTTGTAAGCTAAATAAGATGAAAAAACACTTCATGATTTGATGCCTAAATATAACGTTAACAATATTATTGGTATTAGCAGTGTTGAAAACAGTCAAATCAGAAACTGGAAAATGTTCACGGAAACCTCCACAAACCTTGCTCAGTGAGTATTTTACTATAATCCGGGCTGTCTGTTTAATCATGTAAAACCCCAAACCACCCACTTCCACTGTTCTGTCTTTGATACACCGTTTGCGTTCCCAAGGTATGCTGTTGCTCAGAAACAATTATACTTTATACATTACACCTTTACACGGTCACTACACTTTACAGTAAATCCTGTGAAGAGCTTTGAGACATCTCGATGACGAGATAACACTCTGTGTCAACTGCAGGTATTATTGTTGTACGTATTCAAGTTCAATGTATTTGGAAGAATTCGTAACTTCCCAATGAAACTATAATTCCAACTTCCTTCTTAATAGTTTCTTTGTTTGCTATGAAAAGAACAAATATTGTTAACATTTTACCTTGGGCCCCATAATACCTCGTCCTGGGAGACCAGGCATTCCGAGACGACCCACAGCTCCCGGTTCCCCCTGTAACATGAACCAATACAATCTCGGTTACGCCCGGTGTAAAGTGTGACTTCCTTCACAATTCTAGAGGGCCTTCGTTCCGTCTCGCGGAATAAACACATCGACAATTTTACACTTTGAAGAACGTTTGCACAAGTCTTAGAGGTTATCAGTAACCTCGTGGGATTTACAAACGTCCAAGCACACGGCAATTAAACAAAACAAAACAAAACCTATCTTGCCTTAGGTCCAGCTGAGCCTCCTATTCCAGGTGGACCTGGTAATCCTCGCACACCTCTCTGACCTGAATCACCCTGCAGGATACAAGCGTTGTGGTTAAAGACGCAAGAGTTTTTAAACCTCCTGTATTGCTGAAACTTACCTCAGTAGCAATGACACATTGTTGGCCCAACATCACAGCAACATACCTTTTCTCCTTGTATTCCTATCCCTGCTGCACCTTCAGCCCCCCGAGGACCTGAAGTTCCTGGTTCACCCTACAATGGTGCATGGTGAAAGTCTAGTTTAATAATCTCAGCACCACTCTCACACAACAACAACAACTTGCATTTATATAGCGCTCCTCACACAGGGTAGCGTCTCAGAGCACTTAAATGATGGTTTGGATATTAGTCATAGGGAATGAAAAATAATCACTGTTTTGGAGACCCACTTTAAACTAAGAGTTATTTTAGCCCCTGTTATTTTAATTAAAATCAGCAATATAAATGCAGCATCCAAATTACCTTCTGTCCTGGAGCTCCATCTTCTCCAGGTAGTCCGGGTAGACCTGCCAATCCTGATGTGCCCGGCTCACCCTAAATACGTACAAACATCAGTAGGTTTCAGTCTAAACCAGCAGAGTTTTCTTGTGTTAGTGTTTATTAATGACAAAATGACTCACTTTGGGTCCTGAATCCCCAATTCCTCTTTCTCCTGGAGCTCCAACTTCCCCAGGCAAACCCTGGTCACCCTGTGGAAATAAGTTTGGGAAATTATACCAAAACGTACATTTTCTGTGTACAAATAAGAACATACAAATTTGCTGGGTGAAAGGGGACCGAGGTCCATCTAGTTCGCCTTCCACCATCCTGGCAGTCACTTGACATGTCGTGTCCCAAACTATATTATTTTCTTGGAGAAATCCATCTAATTTCTCAGCGCCCATTCACGTGGGGAGCGGCCCGAAGCACAACTATATCTTACCTTGGATCCAGCAAACCCTTCTCCTCGAGGTCCCCTTAGGCCAGGTGGTCCTACAGGTCCCCCTTCTCCCTGTTATAGCAGAAGCAAATGAACGTGTAGTAACTGCGCTCCCACAAAGTGCAATTGTAACACAGGAGAGAGTTAAATCTGATTTAAAACCTGAATAATAAATAATAATCCTTGTATTTAATGCAATGCCTCTTATGTTGGGGGAATGTCTCAAAGCACTTCACAGGTATACTGTAAAGTCTAGTGACTGTGTACTTTGGAGGTGAATGAATACAGGGGAACCTCACTACGTTGCACTCCTCTGGGTCCAATAGCTCAGAGGATCTGTTGTAAGTGAAGCACCAAAAATTGGCCTATTTCTGGATGATCAAATCACCAAGTGATGTAATTTAATTTGTGATAGTTTTAGAAGGTTTGGTGCGTGAAAAATTGCTGACATGTACATTATTCAGGCCATAAGACAATGAAAACCACAAATGATTGCAAAATACATCACCTTTGTACAAGAATCATGCATTAAATAATGTATCAGGAGTTCTATACAAAAGGAATTAGAAGTGATTTGGGATGAGAATTACACTCGCAGCAGTTGAGCCTCTTGTACTGAGATTCATAGAGCACCAGAATATCTTGATGAGAAAATATTATTTCCATGAGCAATATTTAAAATATTCACCTTTTCACCTTGTAATCCAATGCCAGGTGGGCCAAGAGGGCCAGGCAAGCCAGGAAAGCCTATTTCGCCCTGAATTAGAAGAGAACATAATAATTGCAGAACAAAAGCAATATATTAATAATAATAATAATAATCCTTGCATTTGATATAGCACGTTTTACGTCTTCTAGACGTCCCAAAGCGCTTCACAGAATATACTGTAAAGTGAATTGACTGTATATTTGTGGGCGAACGCGGCAGCCAATTGCGCACAGCCATGTCCCACAAACAGTCATGGATTGAAAATGACCAATTTATTATTGTTTTTTTGATTTTTTTGGAGGGATTATTATTAGGTTTGTGGAGCAAGGAAACTTGTCCAAGGTTTCGCAGGTGACCCGAGGCACGGTCGAAGAGGAACTGTTCTTTGACTGCGTTCTTAAGGTTTTAGAAAGGTGCAAAATCTTTGCTACAGCAAGTTTTCACAGTGAAGTTACAAATTATTCTTAAATTCCTTAAAGTGCTCGGGTGATAATCCAGAACAGGAAGCCTGGGCTCCAGACACTCTTCACCAAGGCTTGAACCCAATAGACCAAGTGAAGTTGCGAAACATCCAATTTCTTGATGATTAGCAGCTGCTATTCCATGCCATGTCTCCTCCTGAATTGAACTGACAATATTGAGCTGAGCAGGTCTGTTCCAGGAGATACAACTGTACCTTTTCAGCTCCCAACTGAATTAAGTATCTTGATCCTGTGTTAGTTATCTCAATGCTGCTAATTTCAAAGCAGAAATCGGGGTCTCCTGAGGCTCTTTTCACTTTGTAATCCAATGGCAGGTGGTGACTGCCGACTCCATGTCCCGCTGCTATATTATTCAGGGGATGGGACGTGTTTTTGAGCACTCACTGCTAACTCTACAGCACCAATTCTGCATCTCAGTCAATCGTGGCTGATTTGACCGCTGACAATCTTATCCTTCCAGAGGCAGTGACTCACTCCCATTCTGCGCTCACAGATCCCAGTAACAACTGGAATGCAAATTGGAAATCATTGATTTGGTGTTTGGCGAGTTTATTCCACATTCTTTGCAGTTCACCCACAAGAATCGCCTCATCCTTTCAATGCTGGTGAAAACGTTATCTAAACGCTTACAAACTGCAATATATACTGTATGTCACTGATCACAGCCTCAACTCAACAATAGGAGCAGTTGAGTTAGTTCATTGCACCAATTGCTAAACCCACAATTGTTGTTTTATTCTTTATGTACTTTGCATTATAAATCTAGCGTATTTACTGCCTACCTTATCGCCCTTCTTTCCAATGCCAATCGCTCCGCGAGATCCCTTTTGTCCTTCAAACCCACGGTCCCCCTGTAATAAAACGTTGAACATCACAGAGGTCATGCCGTTTACATTTTGTTTTCTAGGCAAAAATAACAGTTTATATAACATTTGCTGCTAAGAGTTAGGCAGTCAATGAATCTTAACTGCAGGAAGGACAACCATCACAACAGTAAAGATTATAGTAACATCACTCCAAATAATATAATAATAATAATTCTTGCATTTGATATAGCGCTTTTTCACATCTTCTAGACGTCTCAAAGTGCTTCACAGAATAGACTGTAAAGTGAATTGACTGTATATTTGTGGGCGAAATGCGGCAGCCATAAATATTCAGCCATAAATAGAATTATAGGTCTTGTAGCGAGAACACAAGTTGGACAGCTGCACAGGTCCTGAGACGTAATAAATTGTGTGCAGCCTGAACAAATACTAGTTTAGTTTTGTTCTAGAACAAAGACAAAAGACTGGCATGTTTTCAAAATGTCTTGCACAGAGCCCCCAAGGCAGTTACTGTGATTTCTGCACTGTAATGTACAAGAGGCTATTATTTCTTCAGTTATGAAACAAATGGACACCCTAATTTGGCTTAGACGAATATCTTAAGAGTCAGCTTCAGGGCAAAGGCGCAGGTAAATAGGACTGAAAGGATTGCTCTTGAGAGAGCTGACATGAACGCAATGGGCAGGATGGCCTTCTTCTGTGCCCTGTGCAACTGAAAACGGATCCTCTTTCGAATCAGAATTTTTTTTCATGTAAAAAGCAGTTTCGTTTACTTCCAATTTAATTTTGACGCTAAATGAAAGTGACTCAAACTTATATTAGCAAGTAAATGATTTATTAAACTGAATCTTAGCTTTTAAGTTTTCATTTATTTCTGAAATTCTCTTCCATCTTATATTGCTAGCGTGATGCAAAAGTACAATTCATTTGCCTACCGTGAAATTTAATTAGTGGTAGCGCATTATTCTTTAGTTTCCGAGAAGATGCATTATTTTTTATTTCTGCACCAATAACTAAAATACCTTCATGCATCATAAAAGATAAATTTAAGCAGATAGCTAGTCATATAATATTATGGAAAAAAGATACAGTTTTAGAGCTTCAGCTCATTTGATTTGTTCTTTTTTTGCAGTGTTGCATAACGTAACATTTTACTTATCTTGCCCGGCAGTGCCCAATGTTGTGATTTCTTGCATCGTACTGTATAATTAATATATATATACATTACACTATTGCATGCTTGAATTACTGTGGTTATGAAAAATTCCTTTGCTACAAGCTGGAACAGAACTGTTTACTTCAGGTAAGCTTTTTACAGAGAGAGAAATAATATGCACAGTTACTGTATTTATTTTGCATTTTCCATTGCACATACCTTAGTTCCTGGCCAACCTTCTCCAGGCAAACCTCTATCTCCTAAAAGTCCCTGAAGCCCTGGAGGACCCTAAACAAAAGTAAAATAGGAATTAAATAACTACACAACCATAAAGTCCAATTTAACAAAGCAATAAGCTGTTACTTGCAATAACACCACAGGAGAAAAATGCCAAAACACTGGAATAAAACTGAAGGTAATGTCAGATAAACTGGGTCAAATTAAATACACTTCACAGATAAAATAACAACCCTTGCATTTGATAAAGCAACATATCCATCCTCTTAACCGTGTCATTGTACATCACCTTCATTATATCGCATAGAAGTTATGAAATCCACATTACCCATAATCAACCAGTTACATTTCAATAGCTGTTAAAATTATGAAATTTGTAATATTATAATAACTATTAGATACAATTGAAACCGTGCATTGGATGGTATTGCACCCATCAACGGGAGGCAAGGATAACAAAGGCAAAAAGCAAGACCTTGCGATTACTCAGCGAACAGAAAGAGTTGGGGACACAAATAGGCAAAGCAGAGACTTTTCATACTTCAATACGCACACTTAAGACCTGGCAGAGAAAGCAATGGTTAACTTTGCCTTTGAACTTTTATGTGCAGTACACAAGACTTTGTACATTGTACATTGCCAAGTCCTGTAAATATCCTGCACTATAAAATCTTGACTGTGCAAATAACAGTCCTTTCATCAGTCTGCGAATTAATATGTTCAATATGTTAATAGCTTGAGGGCAGCAATGACAATTGTAGAAACACATCTGGTATATACATTACAATCCTATTAAATCAATCGAAGGTTGGTGATATTTTCTCCTTTCAAATAATTCTGCAATGGATCGTTGTGATTTTACTGGAGCAGTAACTGAAGATAAAAGGCAAATGTTATAGTTTGCTTGGTTGCCACTTAAACAAGCTATCACATGCCCTTTTGAGTAGTGTCAGGGCAGAATAAATTATTTTATTTTAGTAATATAATCCCTGTAAAAGAAAAAAAAATACTGTTTTCCTTCAGGCTAGACAAATTAATCTTTTGTCAATGTTAGAAGCGCAAAATTTGGTTGAATCTTTGCTACCAACGCGTCAAAGATCTGAATAGTGCTCCATATCAACAAAACACAAAAGCACATGTTTACATGCATTGCTGTATATTGTACAGTGGTACAAAAAGGGTGGCTTAAAAGGTGAGTGATTTACTCTTTACTGGCAGGGAAAAATCATAGCATCATAAGATTCGTGGAATTTTACAGCACAGAAGGAGGCCATTCGGCTCATCGTGTCTGTGCCGGCTCTTTGAAAGAGCTACCAACTAGTCCCACTCCCCCGCTCTTACCCCACAGCCCTGCAATTTTTTTCTTTTTAACTAAGTAATATAACATTGCTAGCTGAACTTTGAAAAGCGGAAGTGTTACCTACTTGTAATCCAGGCTCACCTATCCCAGGTGGGCCATGAGGTCCTGATCTTCCTGGGAGCCCGATGTCACCCTAAACAAAGTAAGGATAATCAATACAATATCCGTGGGTCTACGTTTCTAATGTAAAGTGCGGTGGTTTTTACACCTGCTCTGAACCAGGCAGGTGTTCAAGGCGTGTCAGAAGCCTTTAGTCATCTTGAATGCTTCGATTGAAACTTATTCCATTTCAGTTGTTAACTATTTTGATACTTTCATAGAGGTGGTACAAATAATAGTAATAAAAATCCTTGCATCACTTACTGCAACTGTATTGTAAACAACGTTCAGGTCATATCTCTGTCGTGATATGTACCTCAAAAGTTATATGAATTAATTAATCTAAAATTGGTACGTCCTAACATTTCCATTTGCTTGGATATTTAGTAAAGCTCAAGACTAACACCCAAGTGGCTCGGACAAGGGCAGGAGATTCAAGAGCAAGGCAAATTGGTGTGTCTCGTAACAAGTGATACCCAGGGAGTTAGAAACGTTTGCACATTTCCCAGCAATAGGATCGAGGGTACCATTAGCAGGTGATTAATGGTAGGACAGCACTGATAACATTGATTTTGTCCTTCTCTTGGTAAACGCTAATACTGAACGGCTCGGAGTTTGTATAGAGCTGCAAGTACTTCTTTACCTTTGCGCCAGGAAGACCAATTCCAGTTTCACCAGTTAGTCCAGATGGCCCGCGAAGTCCACGTTCCCCCTAAAACAGCAGCAAAAATTATGATAATAATAATAATAATAATAATCCTTGCACTTGATATAGCGCCTTATCACACCATTGAGGCATCTCAAAGCGCTTCACAGAATATAACGTAAAGTGGATTGACTGTATATTTTGTGGGCGAAACGCAGCAGACAATTCACAAGATCGGTTCAGGTGAAGAAGTCTCTTTGGCCCATTCGATCTCATCCCTCCAGAATACCCACCCTACCGTCTTGATTTATAGTTTACCCTTGTAATGAACCAAAACACTGGGGAATCGAGATGCAGTATTATAGTGAGAATATTGATCAGATTGTATTTTTGATTTCTTCCCACTGTATTTTTTCCTTGTCAGAATCTAAAAATAATAAATTACCTTTTGTCCTTGAACACCTATAAGGCCGTGCTCCCCGGGTAATCCAGGATAACCCTTAAATATAGCACAAAACAAACAAAAGTACGATTTTTTTCACAGCATGTTATAAACATAAGTATAATATACTGCACAGTTTTGTTCGAACTAAATTTGATTCTGAGAAGTAAGGGCAGTGCGGTATGTTTCACAGCTGTTAATTGACATTGAATGATAATGATGTTATTTACCAACTATATATTTTATTCAAAAATAATCTTATTATATGATCTAATAGGATGTTGCTTATCAGTAACATTTGGCTGGTGTCAGCAGCCAAATCAGGGACCACACACACACTTACACCTTGGAATATGCACTGTTTCCTTTTTATGTAGTGGTTTCATTTGGTGCAAATAATGTGCGAATGAGAATGATATGCCTGAGGGAACCTCACTGAATAAGAGAAGCATATGGAAACGACTGGAAGCCCTGGAACTCGGTGATTTACTCTCCAAGTAACGGAGGTGAAACTTCAGATGAGGTGTCTATTTATATTGCGAAATACTGTATTCCCTGATTTGTTTTACATGTGAGTTATTTTTACCTGGAGACCTCTCACTCCTCTCGGGCCAACTAGACCTTCTGGTCCCTGTCCAAAACAAAACCGTAAAATAGGAACAAACATTACTGATTGCAAAATTGTCTACAGATTTCAGTATAAATTCTGAGTTTGTTACATTTCCTGCCAACATTTATCGTGCATTAAAACACACAAATTAACTTGTTGTGACATACAAATCAACAACAACATTCTCCTTAAAAAAACGCTCTTGCTAATAAGGCAGAAAGCACAAGAATTAAAGAGGTCACATACCCGATCACCTTTTGTTCCTGGAATCCCACATTCACCTCGTTCACCCTTACGATGCAGAACAAAATTAGAACTTAATTAGTTTGAGCGACAGAGGATTATTACTGTACAGTAGTTAATATAATTTACCATGAACAATCATAGACTCGTATTTTGTTCCCAAACTGTAGTTATTTTGAAAGACAAAAGATACAAACCACTCACAGTGAAGCTCTTTTAAAATTCTATTGTTTTAAAATTAATATTGCAACAGTTTATATGTTGACTATAACATTTAATGGGGAAAACACAATGTTTAGTACATGGGCTCATATAATATTATAAGTAACTATCACTGTGTGTGTGTGTGTTCATCCTACAACAAGCCACAATGCAATAAAATACAGTGGGCAAGAGAAATATTTATTAATTTAGAATCACCGTAGTGTGCTTTAAGTATAAGGTTTGTGAGCTAATATCTCTCTGCTTTCAAATGGCCAGATCATTGCTTCAACATACCTGTTCGCCCTTGTAACCAGATCTTCCCTGTAATTGGAAATTAAAAAAAACTTCAGTAATCTACATATTGTCCAATATAATAATAATAATAATAATAATAATAATAATAATAATCCTTGCATTTGATATAGTGCTTTTCACGTCAGGAGGACGTCCCAAAGCGCTTCACAGAACACACTGTAACGTGAATTGACTGTATATTTGTGGGCATATATTTATATTTATCTAAATATATATAAAATATTTATATTTGTATATAATAACTGTATTCAAGGATATCAGGAAATTAGCAAAATAGTCATAACCGCAACAAAACTCATGTCAAAATTTATACTACCAAACATGCCGCAAGTTCAAACTTTAAATTTTTCCTACCCGGTGCAAACATAATGGAAAAAGAAATGAGAAGATATGTGTATTAACCAAGAGGTCCGAGCATACTTGCACCTGTGTTGACAGAGTGACAACCTTCAAAGATCGACCAAAACCCTGGCTGAACACTTTGGATCAATTCCGTTGTGGTAGTGCAGGATAGGTTTCCATTGCACGAGCAAAAACACAAGACCGGAGATGGTGGACATATTTGAAGAGTTGGTTTGAGTGCAAAGAGTGGGAAAAATTTAAATTGATACTTGAAAATTGCTCAAAGCGCAAAATGAGAGGGAGGAAAAAAAAAGGATATTCGAGTGTTAAAAGTCTTAAAATGTTTGGGTGCTGGTCAGGCCATTGAGAAAATTTATACATAAAGCTAAACGTTCGGGGAAAACACGCAATTTTTTTTAGAATTTTTTTCAGTGATGATGAAAAGGATAATCTTTTAATCTTGCTGTTAGATTGTCTTCCCTCAGACAATGTAAAACGCACTGTACCTCCATTCCATCTCTTCCAGGATGTCCTCTCAAACCCCCTTCACCCTACAAAAAAAAGTAGTGTAATAAATTATAATATTAAAAGTTAGCAGCGTGTTTAAAGTAAGCACAGACAAGAAGTTTCACATCCAGTTTTGTTATTTAAAATACGTCTACCTTGTTTCCTTTTAGACCTGGAATACCATCATCACCAGCTCGGCCTTTTTTCCCCTAAAAAAAAGATCAGAAAGATTAAAACAAGAAGCAACAAGAAATTTACTTCCCTGATAGAATCCCTAAATTAGGCCTAAATTAGGTCTGTTTCAGTTATCTGAAGAATAAACAATTACATGATCGTAAATGTCATCAATCCCACTATCAATCAGCTTTAATAAATGAGTCTCCTGAGCTAAGAGAGAGACGTTACTGTACACAGAAGGAAACTTACAGGAGGGCCAGAGGGACCTTTTTCTCCTTTTTCACATGTACATTTTGTTGCTTTGGGACACTGAAATAAAAGAGAAATGGCTTAGTAACGTATCGTGTAACTATAACCGCTATTTTGTTCAAGAATATTTAACTGCAAACAAAAATCCCAAAGAGGAAAAGGGGTTTGTGGCGTAATAACATTTGAATGAACTTAATTATATTTACATTTAACTTATTTACATAGTTATTATTATTTACCATGTAAAATCTTCATTTCATTCGATTTTTTCCGAACAAGGTAGCAGTTTTATAATTCGCACTTACCCCATCGTCAGCCAATTCTGACTGTGAAGAAAAGAACATTTAGAAATAGTCATTTCCAGGTACTTGGATTAAAAAATGTAGTGATTTTATTTTCACATCAGTTAATCACATATGTACAAATCAAACACATGGTCAAATCTCAAAGTTACATGAGTTTCAGTGACGCAGCTTTCTTTCTCTCTAATTCCTTGTAAATTCAAATGATTCCAAATAAATTCCATTCATTGTCGATTACAAGTATAGAGTCTGTATTCTATAGATCATTCTGGAAACACAAACTTTGCTGGGATAATAATAATAATAATCCATACACTTGATATAGCACCTTATCACAGATTCAAGACATCTCAGAATATACCATAAGTAAATTGACTGTATATTTTGTGGGCGAAACACGGTAGCCAATTGCGCACAACAATGTCACACAAACAGTCGTAGACTGAGTTCCCTAAGTTTTTTTTGAAGGGATAAGAGGAAGTGTAAATTTATTTGTTTTAGCAGCTTCTAGAGATCAGTTTGTACATTCCTAATTTGGTCACTTTTTTTGTTATTCTTTCATTTGTTTTTACCCTTGAACTACACCTGATAATGAAGCCTTGTCCCAGATCTCTGCCCAGGACTGAGCTATCTCTACCCACTCATTTCCATTTCCTCACAAACCTCTGGTCTTTACCTTCCTTGTGGCATTGCTGAGATCAGAAACTTACGATGGAAAAACATAGGCATAAATTCACATTCCACCACCCCACAGTATATTAACAGCACAGGCTGCTTAGCTGCCAGATAACCTGTTCCACAGTCAAATTTATATCGCGTGAAAGAAACCACATCAAACTGCCACAAGCAGCTCACTGGGAGATGTTTTTTTTAATGAAAATAGTTACCTTAACACAAGAATTTATATCCTTGGGCGAATAAGAATTTTTGTCAAGTTTAGACTTTACCTAAAATTGTTTCAAAATGAACATGATGCCTAATTAATTGTCACTGAAGCTTGCTTCCTTGCGTTTTACCTTAAGCGATCCTAAATAAAACACCTGTTTCTTTCAAATCTTTAGAGATGGCAGTAAACATGCTTACGATTAACATCTAAAAGAATAGCCTCCCTAATCGTGATTAATTCCATTAATTCCATGCATTTCATATGTTTTGAACATTATGCTGGCTCGGAAGAATGGAATAATCTACCTAGTATACGATGACAGACAGAAACATACAAACAGTGATATACTATATTGTGCAGAACAAAAGGTGCACAACTTGTTCAGTTTCAGAGCCTGCACGATATATCTCTGGATGCCAAGAACTAAACAGGATTCATTCTCGCTCTCCATCTACTGGGACAAATAGTGTTCACTCACTGTGAGTGTGTGGATGCACAATGAAATTATGACATTAAGTGTAATTTGTTTCCATAATAACTACACTGTATACACATTTCTACACAATTGAAGTTGAGTTCAGGTGGCTATAACGAGGTGTGATGTACACATGTTATTATGATCATGGCTTATGTAGAATAATGGGCACTTTTCACACATTATTCATCAAGAAGAAAACAAGCGCGTGTGTGTGTGTGTGTGTGAAAGACCAATAGTTTTCCTTGGAAGCATTCCAATTTCACAGTGTAATAAATCAAACAAGAAACACAACACAGGTGCGCTTGACTCATCCTTTCTGAACATTAAAAAGCAAATGTTTGGGTGGCTTCATCATTAGGAACTTATGGTGAAGACAGGGAGTAAAATCAGGAGTGATCCCATTCATGGATGGGAGAGGACTTGCCAAGGGAGAAGCTGAAATAGAACTGGTCAAAATAAAGTGAGGTAGCAATAACCCAGTAACCAGGATGATGGGCTTTATTGCCAAAGGAGGAACATACAGTGGACTTGTGGCAAACATGGAAAAGGGCTGCAGGTTTGGGTTCCAGCTTACACTGACCTGGGAGTACCCTGGAGAAGGAGTCAGATTCACAGCGGGCATGTCTACTTGCCAAAGGCCCTCAAATGAGGCCCTGGATTAAATAGCTGGTGCTGAGTAAGCCTGGTACACAGCACTGTACTCGGACTTTGAGAACATCAAGGTGGCTGGCAAAGCAAGCTGTTCTGTAAAGGTCCTCTGTTCGCACTGAAGGCAGATGAACACCAGGTAGCTGACGAGGAAACTGAGGCTTGAGGGCGACAGCTGCTGGAAGGCGTAACCTGGAGTCCAAGTCTGTAAACATTCGGTCGTACATCCAGCACCTGGAATCCACCTGGATTGGTCTGCGGAGTGGTAAGCAGCTGCTGCTTAAACTCTGCACCTCCAACTGTTGGAACCGTCACTCTATGGGAAGGGATGTGTGTCTGAGCTATCTCTCTATCCATCTCTCTCTCTCTATGTATAGTCAACAATCTATCTCTGGGACTTTCATGTGTAGGTGGGACGCGTGGAATTCTCAGTTGGGTTTGGATGCTCTTAAGCAATGGTGATGGGATTCCACGTGTGTCAGACACCCGGCTGTCCACAAAAAAAAAATCCTTACCACTTCTCTGAGCATTTCATCCATGACTCCGCTGTCCTGCAGGTTGTGGACGAATCGTGAGGCGGGGGGACTGGCCAGGAGCCGCAGTTTGGCGGCGTTGGCGGGCTCTGTGGCCACGGGAGACATGCCCACGGTGAAGAACTTGATGCCTTGGTTCTTGGCTTGGGTAGTGGCTGCGTAGATATCCGGGTTCCTGGGGTGGTCCACCCCGTCCGTCATGAGCACGGCCACCCTGACACTGCCCTGAGCTGCCTCGTTCATGAACAGCTGGGTCAGGTTGGTGATAGCGTAGGTGGTGTAGGTGCCGTGGCCAATGTAGGTGATGGGGCTGACCCGGGACCTGAAGGCTTGAGGGCCTCGCCAGTCACGGAAGCTTTGCTCGATGAAGACGGTGCTGCTGTATTGGAGCAGGGCCACCCTGGGCACCAGCCTCCGCCCACTCGTCACCCGCAGCTTGTGAAGTCTGTCCACAAAATCCAACACAAACCTCTTCTCTCTCTCGTGGTTGACATCCTTGGCGCTCTCCGAGCTGTCCAGCAGGAAGGCCATCTCCAAACTGCAGACCTCGTCTTGTGGAGAGGAAATCACACAATAACCTTTTTATCTCCTTTGAAACACTTTAAAACCCATTTACAGGCCTATTCCCCTTAGGACCAATTTCTAAACAAGAAATATTTTCCATATTGAGCATTGCTTTACACTTCCTTCCTAAGAAAAACGGTTTATTGTGAGCCTAACTTTTACAATATGAAGATAAATCACTATTACAATACTGTCTTTGGCTTCAATACTATAATTATCAAGCGTAAAACAAATAATAATAATAATAATGTAAAACATAAAACATATTTGGAGAACAGTTTTACACGTTCTTTCCCCCCCAAAAGTTTATTATGAGCCTAACTGTGAAGATAAATCAATATTGCGATACTTTCTATCGCTTCTATCAATACTATCAAGTGTAAAAACATAAAATGTCAGGAGTTTTTTTATTGCTCACGCAGCAGCTGAAAGAATTGTGTAGAAAGTTTTGCCATGAAAAATAGATCAACTAGAAAGCTTACAATCACCTTGTTCGTTTGCCCCTGGTCTTTCTACTGTGGTGGTGGTCGCTGCCTGATACTTTAACCTTTGTCTCTTGACCACATTGCCATCTCCTCGTTCCTCATAGTCCTGAGCTAAAACATCCTGATAGTCCAGCCACAACAATAGCCACCAGAGATCACGGAAGGTTTTCATTCTCTCTGAGCACAAGAAGTAAAATAAAACAGCATTAAATAAGCCTTATAACCTGTTGTGGAATAATACCCTTGTGTATTAAATCTTGTGTGTTGTTAGTGCAACGTTAAGGGTATACTCACAAATAAATTCTCAGCTAGTTTGGGGGTCAGATACATTCAACACAACTTAGATACACTTAGTCTTATTTATCCCATTTAACAACTTCAGCAACAACGCAAAATAAATCTGTTAGCAAACAGAAAACGCTGCCAAATGTATCCATATAATATATACAGATAGGAAAAATGTGGGTATGCAAGTCACATTCTTAGTTTTTCCATCCACCTGAATATTGTAAGAGCTTTAAAAACTATTAGATTACAATACCTTTTGGAAGACGGTATAGCGTAAATGCACAAAGTAAGACGAACCTCTGAAATGTAAGTTACTTTTTGTGCTCACTTAAAACAAGTAAAAACCAGAGTGTTTTTATCTCTGAATAAAACCGAGTCTCCAGTGGCTGTGATCTTCCTATTCCATCCTTCGGGGGCAATCTGTTGCTTTCAGTATCAGGTAGTTTAACGGCAGCTTTATACTTGAAGGCGGAACTGCCTGAGGATGAGAGTGTTGTAGAGAGACAATTGGCTGCAGAAAAAAAATCAGTAACAATTCAAAGGAACAAAGAAAGAAAAGTTGCGCAGAATGGATGCAAAGTTCAGACATCAGACAAGCAGACTGGGAAAGAAAGGGAAAGCCACCAGGCCCATAAGAACTCAAATAAACATTCCCAAAGTCGTGGCTTGGAGTGATTGCAGCTGCTCATTTGAATCCGAAACACTGCATGTGGGTTATTGCACCTCCAGGAGCGAGTTCAAGGCTGTAATCTAATGGTCAGGTTCAGATGATGCCTTTACGTTTCAAGAGGGAAGCAGAAATGATTGATAATCATGATTATAACCCTAAGATTGGAAGGGAAGCCGGTCTTGGCGAAGAGATAAGAAAATGCAAAACACTGCAGATGCTGGAAATCTGAAACAAAAACTCAGCAGGTCAGGCAGCATCTATGGAGAAAAAGAGATCTCTTGACAAAGAGATGTTTCCTGGAAGATATTACCCGGGAGTTTGTGCCCCCTGATTCAATGCGCAGTGGTTAAAAAAGCGATTAAAAAATATATATTTTATTCAAAAAAGGATTGGTTGTGTCCCATTTTCCAAGACCAGCGCTCTGGTAATAAGCCTTCGATGCATGTATTGAGCACAAAATATACAGTCAGTTCTCTGAACAGCATTCTGTCTGTAGCGCTTTGAGACGTCTCGACGATGTGATAAGGGGCTATATCAAATGCAAGGATTATTATTATTATTAAAGGCAAGTCACAATTTTGCTCTACCGCACGTCAGACAGAAACACAACCTACAGTGGTCTCCGCTGCGTAAGATGATTGTATCAGAACACCTTTAAAGCCAGGGTGGAGTTGAGAGGTCAGTTCCATTTTTTATTCGCCTGCTTCTATCCAATAATTCTCATCTCCCCATCAACCTATTTGTCTTTCCCTGTCCCTTTCCCTTTCCTTGCAGGTGTATTTTATATTAATGTGCTTTCTCTCTGAGAACTGATATAAGTCTCGCGTATTTTTGTCTGTTCTTTAAAGCTTAATGAAAAACATTATTTTTTAAAGACATTACGGTGGTGAACTCACTCCGTGGTGTCTAACTTTAATAATAATAATAATAAACTTTAAAACTACAGGTACAGGTGAAAAGGAGAATACAATAGACCAGCAAAAACAAATATATTAGGTAGCAGCCCGGCTCAGTTGGTGGCACCCTTTCCTCTGAAGGTTGTGAGTTCAAGCCCAATGTAGTGACTTGGAGCTGATATTGGCTGGTACTGCAATACAGTGCTCGGGAGTTCTGCATTGACAGAGGTGCCATCCTTTGGATGAGATGCGAAAGGAATGGCCCAGTGGATGTTAGCAATCCCATGGCACTATCCAAAGAGAGAAGGGAGTTTCTTCCAATGTCCAAACCAATAATCCTTCGGATTAAAAAATGGTCATTTGCTTTATGGCTGTATGTAGGACATTGCTGTGTGAAAATTGGCTACAATTACAAGGTCACCACACTTAACAACTGTGAACTACCTATTCGGGTCTGTCAGCTTGTAAAGACACGTCTAATTGAAGGTGTCATTTATATAATAAATACTCACTTGAAACGGTTTGTGAGGTGGAATTTAGTTTTGTATTGTAACTAACCTGCCTTGTTTACAGCAAACATCTGCCGGGTTTGAATTAATAAGCATGTAGATTATGGTCCTGCGTTTGATGTGATGTGTGCTTGTTGAAAATGTTAGTTTTTTGGGTTTAGATAACCCCCCACATATCAGCATTACTTGAAATAGCCCTGTTCGGGGCTGCAGAGTTTCATTGTCTCCTGTGGGCACAAAGCAATCAGGATTGAAGCTGTCAGATAGGAATGCTGAGCTGAAGGATACTACTGGAAAATCAGTATCTAACTGCCTTCCTCCTAGTCATCTTTTACAAACTCCCTTAACAGCTAATGAATCTGAATCCTTAGCATCAAGTCACATCAGTGTAACACACTCATAGGATTCAGGTAATGATTTCCTGTAATTCCTGAAAACGTTGCTCCAGTGTTTCATTTATGTCATGCAAACCTTAAAGTTGGTTCCAGCTCCATCTCTGGTATCTATTATATTATATTAAATTATGTTCAATCTATGAAATATTAAAGGGAGTTTGTAACCCTTAAACATTGTAAGCACCATTTATCCTATTAGTGAACCACAAGCAGCACTAGGTAATTGTTTGGGGAGGACAGGTTTACAGGGCTATGGGGAGAGAGTGAGGGAGTGGGAATGATTTGGAAAGCTCTTTTCAAAGAGCTGGCACAGACTCAATGGGCCGAATGGCCTCCTTCTGTGCTGTATAATTCTATGAACACATTGACATCATTCCAACGGAATAATATGATTTTTTGTGTCATGAAATTGGCTCTGCCATGTGCTTTAACTCCTTCGAACAATGACGGTCACCCTCTCAGCTATAACACTCTTTGTTTCATGAAAGTAATCTTCTGGCTCACTTGTCTTTAATACTTCGATGATTGTTATTAGTTCAATATTATTCTGGTTTGCATAAGATTTGATTTTGGTTTGGTGAAGTGGATTTCATGACAGAAAATAGCATTCCTATCTCTCCAGATGCATCTAGTCCGTCTACTCAGCCCTTCCACATGTTGGCTAATTATTCAGCAGTATTTTGAACAACAGATATCATTACTTAAAGGCTGTTTATGTTGCTTTCTGGAACAAACTTTTTGTCAGTTTTAAAAGTGACGGTGTTCTATATTCAAGCGGTCTGGAGGAAAATGGCTGCAAATAAAGACATATGTTTACTCTAATTGAATTCAGGAATATGTAGTGCGGATTGAAATATCATTGACTCTGACTTGGAGTGTCTATCTCGCATCATTATGATGGTCGACCTGAGAATATTCTCCTATACAGATGATCTATCCTTGAAGTGAGAACTGTTACAGAGTTGTACCATATTGATTTAGGGTTAAAAAAGTTGAGGCTGAAAAACTATTGCTGACATTCCCAAATAGTTTCCAGCAGTGTTGGGAAATAATATTGCATGACTTACTTTGCTGTAGGTGACTTGAACCCTAAATGATTCTCGGTGTAAATCAGCCTGACTGAGCAAGATGAAGCCTGCGAGCAAGGGGTCATTTTAAGCACGGAATGTGAAATAAAAACAGCAAAGCTCTCTAACTCACTGAAGTGATGGTAGTGGTAAAATATCTCAAAGTAGATATTTTAGGTAATGTTCAATTTAATTTAACAATCGCCTCATTGCTCTGTTTCTATCATTCACGTTTGGCAAAATGTATTTTATTTGTCTATATTTCAACTTTTTCCCCAGCCGTCGTACAATTCTTTCCAAAAGGCACAGATCATTTTATACCTTTTTTTCTTTCAATCATATTTAATTATTCGTTTCACGACTGTTTGTGGGGCACCACTGTGTGCAATTGGCTGCCACGTCCGCCCACAAAATGCACAGTCGATTCACTTTACAGTATGTTCTGTGAAGCACTTTGAGATGTCTTGATGGTGTGATAAATGCAAGGATTATTGTTAGAATTGGATCAACTTCAAAACCCCGATACTGCTATTTGAAATGTAAAGCCTAACTGAGACGCAGGGCTAAAGAGGTACAATGGCATAGACTTGCATAAGAAATGCCACATAATAAAGGATCTTAGTTAAATGAACTAAGATAAACTAAGAGTTTATTCAACTAAGATCCTTTATTGTGTGGGATTTCTTATGCAAGTCTGTGCCATTGTAACTCTTTAGCCCCACGTCTCAGTCAGGCTTTACCTTTCAAATTTCTCTTCTGTGCTTCAAAATATGTCAAGACTAAGGTTAAAGAAAGTACATCAGATAGCAAAGATGAACCAGATGTGCTAGTGTGTGTCTTTTATTTATTCCCATACTTTGAACAGAATACAGAATTATTAAATAATATAACAGAATGATATTCTTCCATTTGCAAAAGAGTTATTTCATTTGCACTTTGCAGTATTATAAAAAATGCAAGTGCCAGCCTAGATTGGATTTTTAAAGATTGGAAACTAAAAGGCCCTTAAAGTTCCCAAATAATAATTTATTTTGTTTGATAGGGTGCAGCTCAACAAACACACTGAAGGTTAGACTGGCTAATGTGCATTGTTCCATCCATTTCCTTCAGCATCAGCTCAATCCAGACGTGTGTCTTCACACACACACAAATACACAGGCTTTTTAATGATGTTTAGGGATAAATCTTTTTCATGAGACTTTTCACAAAATTCCAAGATCTTTGCATGATCACCGAAGGTACGTTTCGTGATTGACGCACTTGTCACTTGATAACTACTAAATATTATGCACTTTTATTATCTTATGTTATTCAACACCAGTATATTGAAATAGGCACTGGTACCAGAAAGGGTAAAATTTATTTTATGCAGGTTTCCTGAATATAATTTGCGGACTCAGAAGCAAAATAGTTTTAATTTCTACCCTGATGGTGCAAGTTTCTTCTAAGCAAAACAAAAAGCACAAAACTTGCCTTGTTGTAATTTTGTTGTTGTTGTGCAGTAAATTGAAAGTAAAGCTCATAGTCTGCATGCCCTCGCGATGAGTGAAGACAAGCATCGTTTCACAAGTCAGGTTTAAACGACGAACGATATGCAAAATTATTGACACTTACTGGTGACCTGATCGATTGTGTGCTGCACTCTGAAGCAGGTGTTTGAAGCCAGTGTGGTTACTAAAAGGCCTGCTGGAATGGTCGGATGGTGCCAAAGGCTCGACTTGATCAGACCCAACACACTTTTAACTCAACAGCGAGAATGTGCTTGTGTGTTTAGCTAAGTCGTCAATATCATTGCAAGTGA